GGCTATTAGTCTACTTTTTTTTCAGATACTTTATTCTCTTAGTGTTGTTTCCATAAATTTTGTCATTTGATCCTTGTATAATTTTTTCCTTGTTGGTCTGTTCAGTGTACTACACAATATTTTTCTTCCATAGTTAATTATGAAAACACATCTGCCAGGGATTCCCAAATACCAGGTATAGAAGGTAGCAGTTGCATATCCTAAACAAATATGGCACTGGTTGGGTGCATAAATGTTGAACAGATTAATGTAAGAATAAAAACTATCTTGTGATTGGTTTAAAGATAAAATTTCAGAATCTTTCACAAAAAAATGTTCTATATACCAAGCACAAAGAATGTAAGAAAAAAGAATTATTAGTGGACACTAATAAGGACCAGTTCTAGATACATCTAGAACTCTGGGGTAAAGCTCAATATATCTGGACTCTTCTGACTGATGCCCAACCAATAGATGTTAATCTGTAGGTCTAATGAGGTAAAAGACCCTTTCTTTCCTCAAATATTAAGGGATGGTTATTATCTGCATAGCACTAAGGTAAATAGTGGAATTCTATTACATACAACAAGCTCCAAATTGGGGAAGAAGGAAAGAAAAATAAAATACAAAGAGCTTACTCACATGGTACAGCCATTGTGAAAATTGTATACAGGTTTCTCAAAAATAAAACAAGGACTATCTTACCATCCAACAATTCCACTTCTTTGTATATACCCAGAGGAAATAAGACTAGTATATCAATAAGATATCCACACTCTCATGTTCACTGCAGCATTATTCATAACAGTCAAGATATGGAAACAACCTGTGTTCATCAACAGATGAAGAGACAAAGAAAATGTGATACATACACACATATACATACAAAATAGAATATTATTCAACCTTAAAAAAGAAAATTTTGTATTTGTGACAACATGGATGAAACTGGCAGACAGTGTGCTAAATTAAATAAGCCAGACACAGAAAGACAAATACCATATAACCCCACTTATATGACAAATCTAAAAAGGTCAAATTTATAGAATTAGAGAGTAGAATGGTAGTTACCGGGGCAGGAGATGGGGGTGGGGTAAATGGGAGATATTGGTCAAGGGATACAAAGTTTCAGTTATCCAAAACGAATAAATTCTGGAGATCCAATGCTTAGCATGGCGATTATAGTTAATACTGCCTTGTGTATCTGAAATTTGCTGAGAGAGCAGATCTTAATTGTTTTCATGTATACACAAAAAGGTAACTATATGAGGTGATGGATATGCTAATTAGCTTGATTATGGTGATCATTTCATAATGCTTATATACATCAAACATCACTTTGCACACCTTACATATATGGGGGGAAGTTAACCAACAATAATTGTCAACTAAGTGAAAATGAATGCTGAGTTGAAAGGATGAGACTGTGATTGGCACAAGGCAGAGCTCAGGTGGTGGAATTTGCAATTGCTCTGGTTGATGGACAGAAGTGAAATAAGGGGAGTAGCACTGGTGTTTAGAGGACAGCATATAATACAGCATCCCGGTCAGAGTGGAGGGTGGAAATGTTTAAATTGACAGACTGAGATTATGTACTTGATCTTATAGCTGGTGGAGTCTTTGAACCTCCTGAGCAAGAGATCGTTGGAGGGGAGGAAAGAATCATTGATGTAGTATCACGGAGCATAAGGAGGACTGGGCACACATCATATATTCTGCCAGTGCTCTCTGGACTGGCACAGAGTTGTGTTTCTGACCATGCACACACATATGTAAGAAGAGGAGAAAATTTTCTAAGCTTATTTCAGCCCTTTTCCTTCCTCATTCTCCATCTCCAATCTCTATAATCTGCTGGCCCATGCTTTTTAATATCAAGGTCCAAGTGCTTCTGAGTCTTCACTTTCCCCTCTTCCATCTGGCCCAACACTCCCATCCCAATTCCATTCTAGTCTATAATACTGCTTCTCAGATACTGAGTCCAAGTTTTGCTTGGACAGCCTAGCACACTGTCAATGGAAGAACATCAAAGAAGTTTTTCTATACCCTTAAAAATTCCCATATTCCACTCCTAACAAATTTTTTTGTCCACATTTTTTTTATTCTCATGATTAAGCTTTGACCTAGTTCTTTCTAAGTGTTGTGATAGTATGATTGTTGTGAAAATTTAGAATTTTAAAAAGAGAACAATACTTCTTCATAGGCGATAAAGTATGCTTACTTATCCCTATATCCATTCTCTCTTCTTTTGGTGACAACCTACTTTTCATTTGTTTTTTATAATTCTCCCTACTCCAAGTAGCCAATGAGGAAAGTTGATTCTACTCTTAATTTTAAGGGTGAGATATGTGGGTCAAACCCAAGGAAATGCGTCATTTTATATGCTTTTGCTACAGTTCAGAGTAGACATGAGGCCTAATTTGAGCCAAAAAGACTGAAGAACTTATTTCCTGGGACCTCCTCAGGAAAGAAGCTCTTTTTACTTCTAGATATGGTGATCTGGTAAAAATTCTGGAATATTTACAGCTTATTTGAAACCATGAAATTAATCTCATGTTGGATAAATGACATTGGAAACAGGAGAGAGAGGACAAATCTCCCAAAACTATGTTCTTGATAAGATTGTTGAGCTATGAAGGAAACCAATTCTTTTCTTTTGACCACATAAAGTTCTTTTGGTCCCTGTTCCCAGAGCAATAGTAGAACTACAAAGGCATATTTCTCAATATTGTAGAAGAAGAAGACATTTTTCAAAGGAGGAGTGGAAATAACAGGGATTGCCTTTGAAAATCTCAGAAGCTCCTTCATTCTGATTCCTGACTTAGCCAGAAAGCACCATCTGTTAGGAACATCGGTTGTGAGCCAATATTTTTGGAAAGCCTTCAGGGACATTGTAAATTAACTCTAGTCATTCTCCAAAGATGAGTAAGGGAGTAGTTAAATTACTACAAAGAATCAACACTGTTTTTTCTAATATACTTATTTACCTCCTAGAGGAAAAAATTTTAAGGTAGTATTTATGGAAATGAAAACATGCATTTACTTGAAAGTCTGTTTGAAGGGTAAAAGCTATTCTTGTCCCATTTTCTACTGAAAATATTTTAATGCTAATATTACAGTATAAGCAAAATTGGAGGGAGGGGCATGTACATGCAAGATATTAGGAGAGATGGATTATTGTCATAGGATGCTGGTATAGCTGCTCTAAGAAGGGCAAAAACCACAGTGGCCTAAATGTGAGGGCATTTCTGTCTCAAGTACAGTACAAATGTAAACAGTCCTGGTGTGGCACTTCCACAGTGTCAGATATCCAGGTTCTTTTGGTTTTGTTCCTAGTCATACTTAAGATTCAGTTTCTATCCCAGTGGTAGTTCTAACTCTCACCACCAAGACCACCTGCCAGCCAGTGGAACTAAGAAGGAGAAAGGCATACCTTTTCTCTGAAAATGTATCCTGAAAATGTCACACTTCTGCTCATGTCTCAATGGTTAGAACTTAGTCACATGACCAGACTTAGCTGCAAGGGAGGCTAGCAAATATCCCTAGCTGGGGAGAGGGATGTGTTCCACTGAATCCCGGGGGCTTTTACTACCAATGGAAGAATAGGTTTAGGGGGACATAGCAATATGTGTCAGAATGATTTATTTCCCACAGTTGTTTGAAATCCCTAGTCTGATAATTCCAGCATCTCTGCCATAGCTGAGTTTGGTTCTGACGCGAGCTTTGTCTCTTCAAACTGTGTTTTTGCCTCTAGTATATCTTGTAATTTTTTGTTGAATGCTGGACACAACGTAGTAGGTAAAAAAAACTGAGGTAAATAGGCCTTTGGTGTGTGAGCCTTTATGTTCATCTGGCTAGGAGTTATTACATGTTTACTCTTTGCTGTTACTGTGGCGCTAAAGACAAAATTTTCTCTATTATCATTTTCTCCCCTATTGCCTCTGAGTTTCCCTAGAGACTTCTTAAATAGAGTGTGAGACCTGCAGTTCTTGTGGATGCCTTTCCCCATCACCATGAGAAGTGCTATTTTTGTGATGCTAAGGTATGGGGGAGAGAATTGTTTCATGTCATAAAATTAGGCATTAGGTTTCAGTCTTTTAGTGAGATTGTTGTGTTTATCATTCCAGAAAAACAGGTATACCCATTAAGCAGTCACTCTCTTCAAGCTCTGGTAAGTGCTAATTTACTTTCTGTCTCTATGGAGCTGCCTATTCTGCATATACCATATAAAAGGAATGTGTGACCTTCTGTATCTGGCTCTTTCACTTAGCATGTCCTTGAGGCTTATCTACATTGCAGCATGTATCAGTACTTCATTCCTTCTTGTGGCTGAATAATATTGCAGTGTATGGATATACAACAATTTCCTTAGCCATGCATCCATTGAGGGGAATTTGGGTTGTTTTTACCTCTTGGCTATTTGGCTATAATGTTCTTGTAAATAGTCATGTGTAAGTTTCAGTCTGGACATAGGTTTTCATCTCTCTTGAGTATATACTTAGTAGTAAAACTGCTAACATGTAGTAATTCAATGTTTAACTTTTTGAGGAACCACCAACCTGTTTTTCACAGTGGGTACATCATTTACATTCCCACCGGCAATGAGCAATGTATGAAGGTTACTATTTCTCCATATCCTACTCAACATTTCTCCCTCTTCCTTCCTTCCTTCCTTCCTTCCTTCCTTCCTTCCTTCCTTCCTTCCTTCCTTCCTTCCTTCCTTCCTTCCTTCCTTCCTTCTTTCCTTCCTTTTCTCCTTCTCCTCCTTCTTCTTCAAGTCTTCTCATTGTGGTTTTGATTTGCATTTCTAAAATGACTAATGATAATGTGCTTGTTAGCTATTTTTCAGCACCTCTGTATGTTATTAAAAGTATTGAGAATCCCAAAGAGCTTTTGTTTATGTAGTTACATCTAGTAATATCATATTTAGACAATAAAATCAAGAAATTAAAAAAATATTGTTTATTAATTCCTTTATAAACTATAGTAATAAACTCACTGTATGTTAATATCAGAGTGATGACATTATCACATATGTAGCTTCTTGAAAACTCCACCCTACATTTGTAAAAGAATGAGAATAAAAAAGGAAAATAAACATCTTATTTATTATGAAAAAAAATTGATCTCATAGTCCCCCCTCTCCCAAATGAGTAATGAAACTTCAGCTCAATTTTATTCAAGTAAGATAAGTAAGATTAAAAAAAAATTTTTTGGTCTGAGAGTTTTCTCAACTCTAACCTCAAAACGCAAATTTGGGATGGTGGCGGCAGGGGAAGAACATTGACAATGGAATCTGCATGGTACTTGGTGGGACACAGAAAGGACAGAAAATGGTTCTTTAATTCTGATGTGGACCTGCTGACACCTGCCCATTTTTTTAATAACAGTTTCCTGCCCTTCCAGAAATGAAAACTGGCTACTGGTTTAAACTTCTCACTAATTGCCTTAGTCATGTGATTTTGTCCAAGTGGGACATCTGAAGTCAACCAGTTTTAGCACTGAACTCTTATGTAAAAGTCTGTACAAGAAATTTCACTGAAATCCCAGCATCTGGAGCTCATTTTTTTCAATAGGCATTGAAGATCAGTGGGCATGGAGTAGTATAACCCAGTGGTTCTCAGAGTATGGTAGGTGGATCAGAATCATTATCCTCACCTGGAATTTGTTAGAAATGTAGATTTTCAGGCCCAGACCAGACCTGTTGATTCTGAAACTTCAGAGATGGGCCCAGTCATCAGTATTTTTTTCAGATATTTATTTATTTATTTACTTTTAGAAAGAGGGGAAGGGAGAGAAAAAGAGGGGAATAGAAACATCAATGTGAGAGAGAAACATCAATCCTCTCATAAGGTTGCCTCTCATATGCACACTGACCAGGAACTGAACCTGTAATCTAGTCATGTGCCCTGACAGGGAATTGAACCAGCAACCTTTCAAATTGTGGGATGAAGCTCAGCCAACTGAGTCACACTGTTTTGGGCAACCATCTGTGTTTTAAGGAGACCTCCAGGAGATTCTGATTTGCTAACAGTTTGAGGACCACTGGTATGTCCTTTTTCATAGTCACATCTGGTAAGTATGATCTTCCTTTGCCCTCCTCAATTCCTTCTTCTTTCTTTCCTTCTTTCTATAAACATTGAATGTATTTGATCTCTTATTGGGTTTCTATGACAATTGTCTGGAAATGTACACATTTCCACATCATATATCTATCTATAAACATCAAATTATTGCAGGACTAATTCAGAGTGTCATTTATAACAACCCCAAAGAAACTAACTCTTAAAGAAACCTATTATTAATGAATAATTGACGTTTTTTTAATAGGTATAATTCATTATCTGGGACCTACCATATTTTGCCATGCATAATGTACACCTACCGTTTTGGCCAAAACTTTCAGGGAAATAAAAATCTTTCCTTTAGTCCTGGCTGGTGTAGCTCAGTGGATTGAGCGCAGGCCTGTGAACCAAAGGATCACGGTTCAATTCCCAGTCAGGGCACATACCTGGGTTGCAAGCCAGTTCCCAGCAGGGGATGCATGAGAGGCAACCATACACTGATATTTCTCTCTTTCCCTTCACCTCTAAAGATAAATACATAAATAATTTTAAAAATCTTTTGTTTTAACTTTTTAATTCAATTTTTTATTTATATCTAAAATCTATTATGGTATTCCAGGGTATTATTTTGCATATGGACATTGTTATTGCTTTTTAGAGTTATACTTTTAATGCATATGCATAAATAAAAAAATTAAAAATGTTTCTATAGATATAAAATTAGTACCCCCCATATATAATGTGTATCCTTATTTTTCCCTCAAAAATTTGGGCAAAAAAGTGCACATTATAGATGGCAAAATGTGGTAATTATCCTTCTTTTCCTGACATGAACTCCACTAAAATTCTCTCAAATATTGAAGCTCTATAATTCCAAGGCTTGATTGCTTGGTTTTGGTGTTACCTAACTATAATTCTGCCATGACTTCTGTTCTTTTGAAATTCCAAACCGAAGGTTCAGTGGAGGGGGTGCTAGTTTAGAGGACTGACCTAAGAACAAAACGATGCAGTTACCAGTCCAGAGCTCTTTGAGGGTGGTCGCTAAGAAATATGAGCAGGAGAATGGGTTAGTCAACTGGAGGCTGGGAAAGGATTTATGTGGATCAAGGGACAAGGTCTTATTACATATGCTAGAGAGTTTGTGTGTGTCTTTTAAATTAGGGCTTGGGTTTTCCTTGGGATATCTAAACTGGGAAGTTGGGATAAAATTAACATTAAGCCATTTTATTTATACTATATAGGGTATGTAGTATAAACTAGAGAGTTCCTTGCTTATCAAGCTTCACATACACATAAAAATAAGAGTGAAAGTTCTGGTTGTTCCACTCTGTTCCTCCAGTAATCTTGGAAGTGCTACTTAGAAGCATGTTGAGCTCACTCATTGATACTCCAGAGCTGGCTTCATGATGGGGTTGCAGCTGCCAGTTGTTCTGTGATGTGTCTTCAGAGCCTTCCAAAACCCAAGGGATCACAGGAGATGCAGCTTGGGAGAATGTTTAATTTCTTTGATTTTGCTTGTGCTTCATGACTTCTGTGGGCTGTTCTTGGCGATAGGCTGTACCACTCTGACTTTCTAGATTGTTCTTCTATTCTTCCTCCTGCAGGGATATAACTAAGTATTAGTCATCAGTGTAATACTGCACCAAGAAAAATGTGGTTTCACCTTAAACTGATGTGGGTGGAACATTCAGCTAAGCTCACATTGACCTACTAACTATAAATTCCACTCCAGGATATTAGTACCTTTCCATATGCTGACATCTGACCTCAAGACTCCTCCATCTCATCAAGACTGCCCTATGGTTTTTACAGAATGAAAATCCAATCACTGTGCAGTGAGCCAATCCGAGAAACAGCCTGAGAAAGCCCTTCCATTTTCCTGCCAGTTCCAGGACTGGACAATTAAGGTGTGGAGGCTGAGCATGTCCCAGGCAGTGGAGGTTAACCCCCCAGCTTTGCAAAGTTAACTACTACTGTAGATCCTCACTTTACATTTCATCCCACTGTGTAGTGACTACTGGGTCCTACTGTCACGCTCTAAAACTGGGACTCATCTTGAGTCATTCCTCTTCCTTAACCCTCACTTCCAATCAGCTATCTTGACTTCCTTTATGTATTTTTTATTCTTTTGCTTCTTTTTAACTTGTGCCTGCTAACTTAGTTCATGCTGTCATCCTCTCCTATGTGGATTTACTCCATCGTGACATAATCAAACTGCCACCACTGTTACCCACCTTAAATCCAGCCTCTGCTGGAGCCAGACCATTCAAGGGGTTGATGTTAATTTGTTCCATAAGTAAAACTTCTGTGGTGCTCTCTGTTGCCCTCTGGAGAGGCTCTACGCCCCTCAGCCTGACCTGATCTTCCATGACTTGGTCACTGCCCATCCCCAGGGCATCGCTGTCACCACTGCCCCATGGACTTTGGGTTCAGAATTCTGTGGCTTCCCCCAAACATTACTGTGCTCCTTCCCACCACTTTCTCTCTCCCGTGCTCCCTCTGTCCAGCAGCTCTCTCCTGCCTTTTAAAATCTGGCTTCAGGCATCTTAGGCACCTTCAACTCTAAAAGCCTTCTTGGCACCCCATGTAGGGTTAAGTGGTCTTTTCCTTTGCTCCTGTAAATGTCTCAGTCTTAGGCTTTCACAAATTTATTTAAAGTTTCTATTTTTTTCCCCTTCTCTTCTACTAATCTGTAAGCTCCGGAGAGGAGGAGTCATTTGCATTTATCTCCGGGGTCTTGACAAGTGCCTGGCACATGTTAGATATTCTTAAATATATATATATATTTACAGGGGTGAGCAAAAGTAGGTTTACAGTTGTGAGTACACAAAACACAGAGTTTATTCTTCTATTATTATTTTCATTATTGTATTATTTGCTTGCATTATTTGTCTTATTATTGTTATCATTTTGTATTCTTAGTTATGATTTATCTTTGAGGTAATGATAGCTGGTGATTTAACCTACTTTTGCCAATCCCTGTATATTTTTATGAAATTTATTGGGGTTATATTGGTTAATAAAATTCAGATATTCATCTAAATGTTTTTTTAGATATAATTGACATATAATATTGTTTGAGTTCAAGGTATAAACATGTTAATTTGATACATTTATATATTGCAACATGATTGCCACCATAGAATCAGCTAACACCTCCACTGAGTCACATAATAATCATTTTTTTTTGTGGTGAGAACAGGTAAGATCTAGTCTTTTAGAAACTTTGAAGTATATAATGCAGTATTGTTGACTATAACCACAATGCTACACATTATATCCCCCAAACTTACTCATCTACTAAATGGAAGTTTATATCTTTTACCAACATCTACATAGGAGATACTCTGTAAAATTTTTAAACTATATGAGTACAATAGTTTTAGAAAAGGAATAATAATAGCAATGAGCTATGCTAAGTGATTTTCATGAACTGAAAATGCTTAGTTTCCAGCCAGCACTGAGCTATAAGAATTTTGCAATGATGGAAATATTTTGCATCTGTGTTGTCCAATAAGGTAGCCACCAGTGGCTTTTGAACTCTTGGAAAGAGGCTAGTGCAACTAATGAGCTGAATTTTTAATTGTATCTCATTATCTAAGTTTAAACTTAAATAGTCACATGTGACTAGTGGCTACTGGTATTGGATAGTACAGTTCTTACTCTCCCCAGTTTCTATGTATCCCAATTGGATACTTTCTACCTTGTCCAGAACTCCCATGGGGGCTGAATGTTTAACAACCAGCTCTCTGAATACTCCCACCTCACCTAGTTTCAAGCTACCAGTATGACACCACTGAACGCAGAGTTGGAAAGAGGCATACAGTAGCAAGCCATTACACAGCATTTTCTTAACACAGATGCAATAGATGTAAACAACCCTGAGAACAAGGAAAGCAGTGGAATGCAGTAAAATAATTAGAAATGTGATTAATTTTGAGTATTTAATTTTGTATTTAATGTAATTTATTTAATTACATGTTTATATACTTTAATTTTTCATAATGACTATGCTAAAAACAGTTTGCAATTTTCTGAACATTCAATTTTAGCTCTCAGAAGCCAGTATAAGCCAACTCTGACTCATCACTAGCCCCTATTAAGTGCTAAAATAAACAAATAAATAAATTGTAGGATTCTGTTTGGCCATAAGAGGGCACTATCAGCTGAAATTTGATTTTAGGAAGAATTTGGACTAGTCTTGGACACACTGGGTCTGCATCTCCTGGAAGATTGTCAGTCTGGAAGAGCTTGTGGGAACTCAATTTTAGGTTGTTCTTCGTTTTACAGCATAAATTCTAAAACCTTTACCACTCCCAAATACCTTCATTTGTTGTGTCTGAAGGCTTTCGGTCTTTAAGCTACTGAAATGAAAAAAATCCTTGAGATGTATTGTCTTGTCATTGAAGGAAGGAGAGGACCTAATAAATATCTTCTCAGGGTCTCGCTGGGGAGTTTATGTTAGTGTTGGCCAGAGTGCATTCTGGTGTGCGGGTAGGGATTCCCTCGATCATCGAAAGAGTGACATGCTAGGTCTCTATAGTCTGCTCTCTAAAGGGAGGGAGAAGCAGGCTCTCTCTCTCTCTCTCTGTGAAAGAGAAATGACTTCGCTCTCTTGATTCTTAACATTGTTAGTCTCGTGCAATGGTTCTCAAAGTTCGATTCTATAGCAGAAGTATCAGGATGATGTGGGAATTTGTTAGGAATGTACAATTTCAGGTCCTGTCCCAGACCTGATGAATGAGAAACTCTGGGGGTGCAGCTGCAGTCTGTCTGAATAAGCCCACCAGGAGATGCTGGTGCCCACTCAAGTTTGAGAGCCACTGGCTTAGTGTAGAATGATCAAAATTGGATGTGTATGTATTTGATGCATCTGAGATCTTAAAAAGTACTTATTTTCTAGTCCAACAAGGTTATATATTATATGATTCCACTTATATGAAATGTCCAGAACAGGTAAATCCACAGAGATGGAAAGTAGATCAGTGGTTGCCAGGGAATGGGGGAAATGGGGAACTGGAAAGTTCAGGTTTGCTCTTTGGGGCGATGGAATTATTCTAATGTATAATTAGATAGTGGTGGTATATATACAACATTGCTAAAAACCACTGAGTTATACACTTGAAACTCATTTAAATAATTTCATTTCAATTCAAAGTCTGAGGCCCACCCCCAGCAATTCTGGTTCCGGCCCGAGCATTGGCATTTTAAAAAGTTCCTCCTGGTTATTCGAATCTGTAGTCAGGAGAATCCAAGATAATGCAAATAAGGCCACACAAGGGTCATGTTCCCAGTCAAGGGGGCTCTGGCGTAGGGTCTGCTGGAGATGGGGTGGGAAGCACAGGGGAGAAGCTCAGGGTGGACCTACTTTTCTTCTAGCCAGGCGATGGGCCAGAGGGTCCCGGGCTCCTGATTCAGATTGCAGTTTGGGCCTCTGCTGTGCAATCTGGTTTACGTCACTTTACCTGTCTCAGATGTAGCCATGAGAAGGTTTCTGAGAAGACAGGTCGTGATAATGCTTGTTAGATAAGCATTGAGCTTGGTATACGGCATGGGTGTCAAACTCATTTTCACCGGGGGCCACATCAGCCTTGTAGTTGCCTTCAAAGAGTGGATTGTAATCTTAGGACTGTATAAATGTAACTACTCCTTAACAGTTAAGTGAGCTTGGCACTGCTGCCAGGTAGAAACAAGGTACTGGTCAGGATAAAACAAAATGGAGGGCCAGATTCAGCCGCGGGCCTTGCGTTTACCACCTGTGGTATATGGTAAGTGCTCAACAAATGTTAGTTTCTTTTGCTCTCCCAGTTCCCTGTGGCTTTAATTCTTGTTGATTGACTCTTTGGGAGTGTGTACATTGACCAATTCTCCCTCTACTATTCCCCAGACTGCTGGTGGGTAGTAAGACAATGGGGTGGGCTGGGGGCATGAGTATCACTGCCCTGGTGCTTTTCCTACTCTGGCTTCACTGATAGCTTGGGCAAGGGCTTCCTTAATTTGGGACTCACCATCTCTGCTGCCAGGTGAACGCGCTCAGAAGGAGGATACTGATCAGCAGGAGAATGCAGCCAGCCACTGTTGATAGAGAAGCAGTTCAGCAAAGATATGCCCTGGGCCAGGTCACAGAGCAAGCTCAGAAAATCCCCCCTGAGCAAGGATTTTCTGAAGAGGTGAGCCCTGTGGCTTCCCCTCCCAGAGTGCAGCTCCCTCCCCAGACAATTTCTTAGGGAGCTCAAGGACTAGGCTAGGACTGGGTGAGATGGCATGGGCCGAGGAGGGGCATGGCGCCTTTCCTCAAAAGGCTTTTGGGTGAGATCCAGCTGACGGGCACTCTCTTCAGAAAGGTTCCGAGACCAGGCCTCAGTTTAAAGTAGCCCTGAGTGAGGCCTGTGACAAGTAAAAGAGATACTGGAATATAAAGATAAATGATAAACACTTCAACATCTCTTGAAAGTGTTCATATTTCCCAACTAGCACTGGAGTGAGCCACTTATCTATGTATGTATCTACCTACCCACCTACCTACCTACCTATCTATCTTAAAGCCTGTGTCTCAAAGCCTGTTTTTCTTCTTTTCCCCCTGGCTTTATTGAGATATAATTGGCATATACATTGTGTAAGTGTAAGGGGTACAGCTTGTTGGTTTGATACACCTACGTATTGCCATATAATTACCACCATAACGTTATCTAATACCTCCATTACGTCACATAATTACCATTTCTTTTTTGTGATGAGAACAGGTAAGATATAGCCTCTTAACTTTCAAATGTGCAATACAGTACTGTTAACTGTAACCACCATGCTGTACATTCCACCCCAACTTACCTTCTAACTGGAAACTCTGCCCTCTGACCACCATTTCCCTATCTGCCTCAGCCCCTGGTGATCCCGTTCTACTCTTGTTTCTGAGCTTGTTTTTTATTTTTTATTTTCTTGCTGCAAGGCATGTTTTTCCCCCTCTCACCAGGAAACAACTGCAGTGCTTACAGAATGTTTTTTTTTCCCTCTGCCTTGTTATACCGCCTCCCTCCTCCTTTGCCTCACCCGTCACATACAGGCACAGGGTATTTTGTCATTTAGAATCCATTCAAGGAGGAAATGACCGGGGTGGGTTTGAGACTTCACTCAGAACTCACTGTAACTGATTACTGTGATTTTAAGTTATGTTAATTTCTGGATTAGTCTTTTACTCTTATAAACATAAAGTGTAAATAGAGGGCCATTTTAAACAACTAACCAATCTATCCACCAAACAACATGCCCCACAGTCTCTGTCTAAGGTACATTTTGTCAGGAACAGAAGTGGCTCCTACCCACCTGCTATCTGATACTCAGTGGTAAATATGAACATCTTTGGGGTTGTAGTCGATTCCGTATGTTTTTCAAAATCTGTGCAAAAAAGAAAAGGGAAGATACTCTGTTTCTGCCGTTATCAGACTGCACAGGCTAGAGAGTGTTAGGGCTTCTTCCTGAGCTAGAACCTCTGAAACTGATGGAAGGGATGTAAAAGACAAGGGGAGGCCACGTGCAAGCATTTCATTCTTCCGCCTCGATACATCACCCTCAGTCTGGTTTCTCCTTCTTCGGACATTTGCTTTCCAGCATTGGAGGGTTGGGAGGTTGGACGCAAATGTCTGAGGATCTTTAAACATCCATGGGGCAGCTCTGACCCATCTGCTGGAGGGGCTGCTCTAGGCAAACTGTCTTCCCTTTCTCCGTTATGATTTAATGGCCAAGCTTTTATCTTCACAGAAACAGACTCTAGCCATACCTGTAGTAGTACCTGTCATTATTAAGGGACAGGCAGTTTCACTCTCAGAAGGAGTGTCTGTGCTTGCTTGAGACTCTTCATCACCTGGAGGAGATAGTAAACAATGCTATGTAACTGAATGTGGGGGTACTGGGGGGCTTCCCATCTAACCCCACCTGCCCTCCTCAGTGGACTTTGGACATACTAGCTAATGTGTGGATCTCAGTGCTGGGCATGTTGTCTGTGCGTGCCACGTCACACGGCACCCTATCAGAGTCACAGGGAGGTGGATAAGTGGCCCCTGCAGAGCCCTGTAAGAGGAAATTCTAGTTGTGATTCTGGTTTTCCATAGAATGCTGAGAAACACTCCTACTCAGCCCTGGTTTCCATCTGTGGCTTGGAGACAGGTCTTAATAATACAAATACCACTGAACTGTCAAACAAAGTAGAAAGACACAAAAGGATAGCTTTTCTCTGACAGGTCCCCCATTCCTAATGGATATTGTCAGTTACCTGGGATACGGCCCAGCTCTGACATCCTTTTACAAAGGAAACCAGGAGCATGCTGTGGCCAGCAGTGTGGCTCACTGAAGACAGGCTATGGGAAATGACACAGAATTCCCGAAGAATCCAAGAGGAAGACATGGGACGGGGAAAGGGTGGTGAGCAAAGGAACCAGTAATCCATAGTTAAATGTAAGTGACTTTGATTGTAGAAACAGTAACATGATTTCAGAATGAAAATAGAAGACCTTAATACAGGTTGGTTGCGTGTACATGTGAGTGTGTGTGCATGTGGGGGTGTGTGTGCATGTTTGCACTTGAATAAATCTCTTCCCTGTATATTTATACTTTTATCAAAGCTCAGTGGGAATGATACAGGGGAAGTTGCATGCCAACAGTGTAGCACTGTACAAAAATGGATTTATATTATATATCAGTAAATTAGAAATCTGTGGGATACAGACTGCACTTTCCCTTTTTTAAAAAAGATTTTATTTATTTTTAGAGAGGGGAAGAGAAGGGGAAAAAGAGGGAGACAAATATCAATGTGTGGTTGCCTCTCACACGGCCCCTACTGGGGACCTGGCCCACAACCTGGGTATGTGCCCTAACTGGGAATTGAACCAGTGACCACTTGGTTCATAGCCTGTTCTCAATCCACTCAGTCACACCTGCCAGGGCAAGGACTTTCCCTTTTGAATGAGAGGAAGTCTTGGTAGCTTAGAGAAATAAGTGAAATTTCAGAATCAAATAGGAAAGGGGGAGAATTATTAGCATTGAGTGATCCGGAGGCTTTGGGACACTCAATAGACCTTATCTCCTCTTCTGTCTCCTACTACTTATCCCCACTCAGGATACAGGGGACCTTCAGTGCTAGAGACCTTAGAGTTTATCTTGTCTTTTTTTTCTAGAATGAGAAAAAAAGAAAACAGAGACCCACAGAGATTAAGCGGCTTGCCCAAGGTTACATAGGTGGTGGGTCAGGAATTCCACCCTGGTTGGCCTGATGGAAAAACCAAAGTAGTGAACTCAAGAAGGTGCCCTCCATACCTAGGAACTGGTTGTTCTTACCTTCTCTTATGCACTTGAGCTGGGGCTGTGTCCACCTCACCTCCCCACAGATCATTTTGCAGATGCTCTTGGCAGGACCTCTCTGTAGAGCCCTAAATCCCTGGGCACACTCGTAGTGAATGATCTGCCCCTCCGCGAAATGATAAATTCTCTCTGAACTTTCATGTTCCCATGGTGGAGGCTCCCTGCAATGACCTGGAAGGGAAAAAGAAAATTCCAAAGGCAAGTTGGGGAAGCAATATGAATAAATGCAAGTTTCCCCTTCTTAGAGTCTGGACCTTGGTTCTGATTCTTTTGTTTATTCATTTGTTCATTCATTTTATTTCACTTAACCAATATGTATTGAGAATGTCTGTGTGTCAGGAACTTTGCTGAGTACCTTGTGGGAAAGCACAAAGATCCAGTCACTCCTGCAGGAGGGGTCAGTCAATTGGGTAAGAAAGGCACATGAAGGCAGGATGTGCTGAGTGTTAGAGTTAAGGAACAGATGCTCCCTACGCAGAGGGATGAGTGATTACTTCTGACCACAGTGAGGGTTTTCATAAGTGTACAGGAGCAGGAAGGCAGGTCTCAGCTGAGAGATAAGGGCAGGCTCAAGGCTTTTCAGTGTGGGTCACTGAAAAGTGAAGACCACCCTGGATCTCCACTGCTGATTGAGGAAGTTACATCCTTGGGTTGTGCTAATGATCACCTTGGGACCATGGTAGAAGGGCTGGGGACAAAGCCAAAGCCATGAGGAGAGAAGGGCTGAGAGAATCTCAGAGAACTGGAGCCTGATCTCTGATCAAGCCATGCCTGAAGCTTGCCCTTCCTGAGTCCATCAAGGCCTCTGAAAATTCCCCATGCCCAGGAGCTTCCCACTTACCAAACAAAACCCGATTGACCTTTAACCCCAGAGATCATGTCCTGCTCTATATTAATCTCAAGATTTTCTAACCCACCCCTTGTCTGAACATATGGAACCACACATATCCTCTATCCCCAGACATGTGGAGCTACACGTATTCTCTGACCTTTCAGATTTTCTACAACCTAACTACCCAACATAACCTCTACAAAGACTCTATGTAACCTCTCTGGCACAGCAGGAAGCCTAGTGGTTCTGTCCTGAGGGTCTGCTCTGGTGTGGCACCTTGCAAATCATGACTGAACTTATGTTTTAGGCTCAAAAAATTTCTCATACAGCCAATGAAAACTGGAATGTTTGAGCCTGTTTGAATTGGTTTTGCTGCTTTTAAATGAAAACATCCTAATTAAGACCATCTGTGAAATATCCCATAGCCAGAACCAGCTGCTTATTTATTGAGTAAGAAAAACAAACACTGACCTTTTGAGAAATAGTTCAATAATTGTATAGAGTAATGTGGGAGAAGTAGAGAAAAACAAACAAATGTGTTTTAAAACACCATTCCATTACAAAGTTTGAGGGGCAAATGGATAAAAACTTCATGTTGCAACAATGCCCCTGGATTATTTTTTTTAATAATTAGTTTTTAAAAATAATTAGCCAAGTTTTTTACCTTCTCAATATCTGTAGTTCTTTTGTAAATTGAAGAAGTAGTACTCCTGCTCCCTGACTCACTGGGTCATGGGGTTCAAGTGAGATTATATACACTATGATAAAGTTCTTTGTAAAGTTATAAAATCAGTATGGGACCACAGGGTTTCATGAGGTCAGCTGGTTCCCCCCAAAGCTCAGGCTTTCCCAATGGGCTCTACTTCCTCCTGATATTATGGTGATTTCAATCAATATGATTCATTGTGGAAAATTGCCACAGCAACTGGGTAGTTATGGTGTTCACTCATCCACAGCCCATTAGCTAAGAGGTATTTGTCTGCTACTTTGAGACTCACCAATATGGCCCAGCACATTTTACAACCCCATGGTGAGAAACACCTTGAAGTAAATTGCTTTGCTGGCAGTTTATTATCTTCTACTTAAGGGAAAAACAAAATATTTCCTTAGAGCAGGGACTATGGGCTGGTCATGTTTGTATCTTCTTTGGCGGTGCCTGGTACCTTTAGTCCCAACACCTACTAATTAAATTGGATTGGATTGGATTGGATTGGATTGGATTGGATTGGATTGGATTGGATTGGATTGGAGTGAATTGAATTATATTCAGCTAGCTCCCAAACCAGGAAGAAACCCAGAGCCCAGGTTGGCCACTGTGAGAGTGACTTGAAATGCTGAGCCAATAGCCTGCAAATTCTATACAAAAGTTTTTGTTGACATGGTAGCCTTAATAGAGAGGATAGTGGGACAGACTTCCTTCCTTTGGGGAGCACATCATATACCTGCAAGAGAAAGGTTGTCTCCTTGTACTCAGAGAGACAACGGTTGTTCAGATTCACCTCTTACCTTGGTTAACTTGGTCTGTGGGCTGCATTTGGCTTTGCATTTCTGTGTTTTTTCCTTTCTTCTGTTCGTCAGGATTAGGAGTAGCTTGTTTTTGTCTGTTCCTGGGGGCTAGAGAATATGAACAGAAAAAAGCAAATAAGTTCATACAGGCTTACAATAATAAACCTTCTTCATGTATTACTTATTCAGAAAGTGTCTTTGTAGTGCTTGTGGTGTGCCAGGAAATATCTAGGTGCTGGGGTTACAAAGATGACCCACACATATGCCCTGCCCTTGGGGTATTTCCTGAGGGCCCTGCTCATGTCAAGCCCAAGACAGCACTGGCCTTCTGTATTTGTGTGTGTAATGACAGTGACCTTCAGCATGTTTCTGAAAGGACTGAGAGATTTTGTGGTGAAATTTTTTGTGTATGTGTGTCTCCCCAAAGGGACTCCATTCTGGCCGTCACCCTGCCGACGCTGTGCATGTGTGCATGTGTGACGGCACTGAAGAGCAACCTGACTCAACAGCCCACTGACTGACTCCCTTGTTTCCCTAGAGCAGCTCATTTAAAAGTTGGAGAGATGCAATCATAAAGTAATGAGAAGAAGACCTCTCTACAACCCCCTTCTATTGCGAAGATTTTGGTAAAGGAGTTGAGTAAGGGCACCAAAATGAGGGGGAGTTGGGATTCTAACTTGGGGTTCAAGAAGGGATCTTCTGGGGAAAAAGATTATGGGGTACTTCAACAGAGCAGTAATCTCCCGATATGCAATCTTTACACAGTCTGGGTAGGACAAAAGTCACTGCCACTCACCAACAGCATCTCCAGGATTAAGAAATAAAAGGACATGAACCCATCACTAGTCACCACTTTCTAATATCATGGAATGAACAAAGGACCTCGTAGGGAAATTGGATTCGCAAGAGAACTTTCAGGATTCAAAGAAGAAAGTTAAATGGCAAAATCATGGTATCAGGTCAACTTAGGTTTAGAAAGCACCTTGAGGGTCATTCCCATCAATTCTATTACAGGAAAGCGATCTGACTACAATATCTGAGAAAGTAGCTCTGCAGTCTCTTCTTGCCCTCCCCAGCAATTGTGAGGCTGAGACTCAGTCCACCAGTGATGCCAGCCATGTCTGGCAATGAGGACCTTGAGCTCTCAAGCCATGTTTGAAAATTCAGACATAAAGAAATGCTAAGTGAACAATTTCCTCTGCCTCTCTGCTTCCCTCATGCTGATTTGGGGGCCTCACACACATCAGTCTGACCTGCCTGTGGCTTGTTATTCTGATCCCAGCAAGGGGATGTGGCGCCTCTGGGGAATATTCTTCATGCTCTGGAATGCCAGTTCCTGACAGTGGGCTGGGGAAGTACTTGGATTAACAATATATTTCTGCTTGACTATGTATTTCCCCTCCACAGAAATCTCCAAAAGGCCCCATGGTACCCAGAGTGAAAAATGTCAGTAATAGATAAGCCTCTAGATTTCAGTAGCATGAGCTTCTATTTCCTTTTTACCCTTGACAGGGGAGGTAATGCCTCTCCCATTGATCCTGATTTTGGACCTAGAACTTTTTCCTTAGGTTTGCAGAGCTGGTAACTGAAAAGGAGAGAGAGGAAGAGGGGTCATGGGGCATTCTTAGGAGTTCACACTGCTGCGTTTCTGTGTAGTAGACCACTCTGCCTAGTTTTAGGAATTGTATCTCTACCCCTTGTGGCTAAGGGCGAGAGACATCTTTGGAATGCCAGCCGCAGGAGACAAAGCCTGTCTCTGGTAGCAAACGCTGCCTCAATTCCTCTCCCTGCCCCCAGAGCTTGGTTGGAAGTCAATGACAGGTAATACCCCTCACAGTGGGGGGCAACCTAAGCCAGACTCGATCACTTGGGAGGCCTTCATGGAAGGACTTGGGGGGCTGCAACAGAGAGCAATGGACTCTCGCCCCCTGGCTTTGTCAAAGCCCAAGTCTCCATGTCCTCTGGGAGAAGTGCTTCCTGGCTCTAACCCCCTTAAAGCCTGAATACCTGTTGGGGAGGGGTGCAGCTCCTTGCCTTGCTAGAACATGTCCTGGGGGAAAATCTGGCATCACAAAGACTTGCTGATAAACCTGTGAAATCTGCTTTGCTAAGAGTGCTTTCATTCATATGATAAGGGTCTGAGAGGAAATGAGTATGTCTCCCAAAGTTTCTGCAACTCTCTTCGTGACAGACACTGACTCAGACTCTGAAGCCCTCAGATCTCTTTGAAATGTTATCTACTGTTTGATCCTTGCCACCCTGCATTCCTGTGTATTACAACCCAATAAAAGGCTATGGAGAAAGGCGCTTGGGGACTTTTTCTCTTCGAAGAAACTGGTCGCTGCTGGCCTTTGTCTCCCCTGAGAAACTGGCCACAGCCCACTCCTCCTCCCCAAACAGATCTCAGCATCTCTCAGTTATATTTATTCATTCATGCGTGTCCGTGGCACCGGGGGGACACTCGAGAAGTAGTCAGTCCCACATTTCTGGAGGTGGAGCTAGGATAAGTGCATTTCATCAACCGGTATATTGGTGGCATGAAGTATGAGCTTTGGAAATCAGAACACAAACAAGTTAATGCAGCCCTATAGGTCAATATTGTGCACTGGAAATGGCTTTTCACTGTATGTATTCTTTATATAGGTTTATTCACACTATTCTTTTTTATTGTTTGAAAATGTGATAAAATAGACATAACATAAAATTTACCATACCAATCATTTTAAGTGTACAGTTCAGTGGCATTCATGCTGCTGTGAACTAGAATTTTTTTAATTGTTTAGTAATTATTAGTGTAATGTCTGTTCTCTGCCTACCCCTGGAACACGTTTCTTGAATGTTAGATGTCCCGCATACCCAGACCAGTTCTTGGAACTAGAAGATGCTCCTTAGATATTTGTTAAGTAAATGAATATTTCAGGAACTACTAAAATTAGTTACCATGTAGTTCAGACCGGTCAGTGTTTGTCTTTGAGGCTGAGTGAACCAAAGCTGGAGCTCTGTCTCTCTCTTTGCTACAGCTCCCTTCCCCTTGGTAGTTACAAAAGGAAACACTTACAAATGTTTGTGCACTGACATTGGTTTTCCCAGAAAGAGTGGCCAGACTTTCCTGTACAATTCATATAGGGCGACCTTGTGCTTATTCTACGGAAGCCTTTCTTGCACTCACAGTTGACCAAGGTGCCAATTTTGTACGTGAGGGCTTTGTATGTGGCATGGCTGACTTGTGGTAGTTTGTGATGACAACGCTCTGCAAAGAAAAAAGAAGCATGTTAGGAGTTCAGGAAGGCCCAGGCAAACGCTCACATATTTAACTATGCAGTGATTTAATCGCCCAGTTCTTCATTTTATTTAAAGGATTTGTGTACACCCCACTTTTTCCTAGAAAGAAACTAAGGCTGTTGCCATTGTTCTTTAGAAACCTTTGTATGAGACACAGTTCAAAATTTAATTTCAACCAAATCCCTCTTTAGACTACAATATATTTCCAAGTAAATGAATAGAAATGAATATGGTTTTGTTCCGAATATGCCTCCTGCTGTGCAAGTAGAGAGAGGAAAAGCAAAAATAGGAGGAAAAGAAGAGAGAAAAGCTGTGTAAATTTAATTAAGGAACAAAATGTGTGTGTGAGTGAAATAAGAACTTTTCAGGAAATAAGCATTGTCTAACTTCTATAATTAGTGATTCTGTACCATTAAAAAATAGAAATGTAAAGTGCTTCTTCACTCAATGTCTAGTTAGTGTATATTTCTCATCCACCAACCCACCTGTGAGTTTTCCAAATCCTTCTACATGCTGCAAAGACCTGACCCTTTCTCAGCTCAAAAATGGACACTAGTTTTCCACACTTGATGCAGTGGCCAAATATTCAACTATTAAGGGGGAAAAGCATTGGTCTAATCAAAAAGATGACTTCATTACATATCTTGCAACAAGTTCTCCTGCCTCAAGAAACTAGATTTTTAGGAAAAAAGCCACCCACTGGATGAAAGCAGTGGATAGGAAGGATCATGGGAAACAAGAAAAGGTGAGAGAGCAGGGGCCTCTGTCACAGCCAGCCTCTCCATTCACCAGAATAGGCACTGAGTCTCAGCTGGTTGCCACACTCATTGCTAGCAGAGGACCGTCCGCCAATTGTTTATTAATTACTTGGGTCGTAGTGAAGCTTCTCTGTGCCCTCACAGTCTGCCCAGAGTCTTGTCATCCTAGAAGCCAACCTATCCAAGACTTAGGACACTCCTATTACCCCCAGGAACAGAAGGTGAGGGGACCATGGGCAGCTTGCCCCATGTCCATACAAGAAGGGACTAAATGAAAGCAATTTGAATGGTTCAGTGGGCCAGCAATTGTAGAGGAACATGTACCATAAGCACTCAATAAGTTCTGGTACTTAAAATAACATACTACTAAGACAAGAAAGCCAGCATGGTGGAAAGTGGAGAGATATGGTTTTCTAGATTATAGCTCTACCAGTTTACTAGCTATATAGCTTTATTATTTTTGCTTATCTAAGGTGTGGCTTCCTTTTCTGTATTGTGGCCATTATGATGATTATTTATAAAGAAATAGTAATTATTTCCTTTTCTGTATAGTGGGTATTATAATAATTATTTTACTGATTTGTTTTAAAGACTGTATGACATAACATACTAAGAAAATTTGCAGAGCACCTGGCATGAAATAGGAATAGGTAGTTGCTAGTTTGGTTTTCTTCCCTCTGTGCAGAAAAAGAGGATAGTGATTCACATCCTCTGGGGTGATGTTTATCCCTTAACTTCAGCAAAAGGGCATCTCTCTCTACTGCCCATATGATTAGTACCACTCTCTGGCACTTACCAGACATCAACACTAACCAACTTTTTAAGTATCAGATGGTGAATCTGTTTCTAAAACAAAATATGTATAATAATCAGCAGAGGAACATGGCAAGGACATTACCTTTAACTGCTGCTTTTCAACCTTGTACTAGAAGTCCTAGCTAATGTCACAGGAAAGAAAAGGAAATAAAAGGTATACAGACTGGGAAGGAAGAAAGGAAATTTTCTGTTTGCAGACATCACGACCGACTATGTAGGAAATCTGAAAGAACAGACAAAACAAAAACCCTTTTCATACTAATAAGCAATTATAGCAGGGTTACATGATACAAAGCTAATTTACAGAAGTCAATTGCTTGGCTATATAGCAGTAATGAACAAGTGAAAATTGAAATTGAAAACACAATAGCATTTAATTAGCACCCCCAAAATAAAGTGGATATAAATCTAAGAAAATATGTACCAGATCTATATGAGACAAACTATAAAACTCTGATGAAAGAAATTAAGGAAGAACTAAATAAATGAAAAAATATTCCACATTCATGGATAGGAAGATTCGATGTTGTCAATATGTCAGTTCTTTCCAACTTGAACTATAGACAATGCAGTCTATAGACAATGCTTGAACTATCCCAATAAAAAATTCCAGCAATGTGTTTTGTGGGTGTCAACAAGCTGGTTCCCAGGTTTGTATGGAGAAGCAAAGGGCTCGGAATAGCCAACACAGTACTGAAGAACAGAGTTGGAGGATTGACACTGCCTGACTTCAAGACTTCCTATAAAGCTACAGCAATGAACACAATGTAGAACTGGTGAAAGAATGGACAAAAAGATCTATGTGACAGAATAGAGATGCCATAAACAAACCTACGTGAATATGGTCAACTGATCTTTGAAAAAAGAACAAAGGAAATACAATGGAACAAAGACAGTCTTTTCAAGAAATGATGCTGGAACAACTGGATATTCACACACAAAAAGTGGATCTAGACAGAGCCTACGTCTTTCACAAAAATTAATTCAGAATGGATCACATACCTAAATGTAAAATACAAAACTATAAAACTCCTAGAAGATAACATAAGAGAAAGACCAGATAGCCTTGATTTTGATAATGACTTTTTAGATACAACACCAATGGCATGATCCATGAAAGGAAGAATTGAGAAACTAGATTTCATTAAAGTAAAATATTTCTGCTGTCAAAAGAATGAAAAGATAAGTCACAAACTGGAAGAAAATATTTGTAAAAGATATATTTGATTAAGAACTGTTATATAAAATATACAAAGAATGCTTAAAAGTAAAAAATACAAAAAATAACAATCTGATTTTAAAAATGGGCCAATCACCTTGGCTGCTGTAGTGAAGTGGATTGAGTACAGGCCCACAAACGAAAGGGTCACCAGTTCAATTGCCAGTCAGGGCACATGCCTGGGTTGAGGGCCAGATGCCCAGTAAGGGGCATGGGAGAGGCAACCACACATTGGTTTTCCTCCTTTTCTTTCTCCCTCCCTTCCCCTCTCTCTAAAAATAAATAAATAAAATCTTTTTTTTTTAAATGGGCCAATGACTTTAATAGCACCTTACCACAGAAAATGTATACATGGAAAATAAGCATATGAAAAGATGCTCCAAATCATATGTCATCAGGGAAATGTAAATTAAAACAATAATGTGATATCACTAGACACCTTGAGAATGGCCAAAATCCAGAATACCAAATGCTGGTGAGGATGTAGAGCAACAGGAACCATCATATGTTCCTACTATGGATGCAAAATGGTGCAGCCACTTTGAAGACAGTTTAGCAGATTCTTACAAAATTAAACTTACTCTTACTGTGCAATCCAATAATCATGCTTCTTAGGATTTACCCAAAGGATCTAAAAACTTGTGTCCATGCAAAAACTTCCGTCTATGCAAAAACTTGCACATGGATGTTTATAGCAGTTTTATTCATCATTGCCAAAACCTGGAAGCAACCCCATGGATATCCTTCAGCAGATGAACGGACGAGTAAACTGAGATACATCAGACAATGGTATATACTTCAGCATGAAAAAGTAATGAGCTGTCAAGCCATGAAAAGACATGGAGGAAACTTAAATGCATATTATTAAGTGAAAGAGGCCAATCTCAAAAGGCCTCATACTGTATAATTCCAACTCTACGATATTCTGGAAAAGGCAAAATTGTGGAGACAGTACAAAGATCAGTGGTTGACAGGCATTAGGGAGGGGGGCAGGATGTATACAAGGAGCACAGGGGACTTTTAGAGCAGTGAAAATACTCTGTACGTTACCATAATGGTGAACACATGTCATCATACATTTGTCTAAATTCATACAATCTGTAACACCAAGAGTAAATCCTAATGTCAACTGTGGACTCTGGGGGATAATGATGTGTCAGGGAAGGTTTATTGGTGTAACAACTTAGAAAGAGATAGCAAGGAGATAGACTTAAAGTCACTCATATCAGTAATTACATGAAACATAAATTAAAAGCCAGATACTTTCAGACTGGATAAAACAGCAAGGCCCAACTATATGCTATCTGCAAGGGAACACACTTTAAATATAAGGACAATGATAGATTAAAAATATGATATATTATGCAAAGGTGCACATAAGAAAGCTGGTGTGGCTACACACACACACACATATGTAAATGTCAGAAAGTAGATTTTAAAATAAGAAGCATTCACAGATGACTTGATTGTTTACATAAAATTAGTAAGAAATCTACAAACTAACTACTAGAACTTAGCAAATTTACCAGTCTCAATGTATAAAAATCATTTGTGGTTAGTTCTTTTGTCCTTTTTAAAAATTTATTTATTTATTTATTTCTAGAGAGAGGGGAAGGAAAGGGAAAAGAGAGGGAAGGAAACATCAATGTGTGGTTGCCTCTTCCACGCCCCCTACTGGGGACCTGGCCCACAACCCACACAAGTATCCTGACAGGGAATCAAACCAGTTACCCATCAGTTCTCAGGCCAACACTCAATCCACTGAGCCACACCAGCCAGGGCCACTTGTGGTTAGTTTTAAATACTGGAAGAAACCAATTATAAAATAAAAAAATTTAAAACAATTCCCTTTACAATAATATCAAAAGCATAAAATACTCATGAATAAATTTACCAAAAATTTGCAAGACCTCTAAATTGAAAACTGTAAAATATTGCTAAAATAAATTAAAGAGCCATATAAATGGAGAAATGTACAATGTTCATGGGTTGGAACATTCTTTTTTTAAGAAAAATATGTCAATTCATCTTAAATTTATCAATAAATTCAATGTACAATTACAATGTACAATTACAATTAAATTAAATTACAATTTTAAAAATCCAGCACACATCTGGGTAGAAATTTGGCAAGTTGATTCTAAAACCTCTTTGGAAATGGAAAAGACCTAGAAT